GTGAGAGAAATTATGAATAAATTTTTGCGCGCGAAAGCTAATATTAATGACAAAGGATGAAAGTAAGTTGCCAATATGCTCTTTGGAATTATCGTTACATCTATGCCAAATTTCATAGATTTTCATCCAGATGTTTAGGCTACAAATACTAACAAACATCCATTCACCCTTTTAAACTTTCGCAATTATAATATTAGTAAGAAGTGGGTGGAGTTATTGTCAGTTTTAAGAAATCATATCGCTTACTCTCTCATTCCTTCTAAATTAATTGAGATAATTGCTTTTGTATCTTTTTATTTATATTTTAATACTATGATTTATGCACATATCATTTGTTAAATTATATATGATTAATAACCACACCAATTCATTTAGAAATATGAACTCGAAGTTCCTCAAAATTAGGCGCAAAGTTGAGCGCCTCGGGATATAATTCTGACAATGCTCGCTCCAGCAGCACTTGTAGTTGTAAAGTTTACGAACATCCTTACAAAGGACGTGAACATACAATACTGTAAGAAAGCACAGTAGAAGAATTAAATACCCTTCCCACTTAGATAACAAACATTTATAACTTTATATTATAGCAACGATTGCTGAATAAATATTGTCTTATTTTTACAAATAAAGTGAACACACTTAAAATTGATTATTTTCTGATTATTCCCAACCGTCACCCCGTTGTCCCGACATGACAATAAAAAGTTTCATACGTCCCACCACGTTTGAGTCCCACTATCACCACGTTTGAGTCCCACTATCACCAATAAGGTGACAGATGTAACCGTTATGAAATAAAATAAGTTCCAAAAGTCCCCTAAGGTGGGACGGATGAAAATTTTTATTCTCGTCTGTCTCCACGTGGGGACAGAGCGTGGTGACGGTTGGGAATAATCCTTATTTTCTCTTTTTAATTTAACGAAATTAATTTTCGAAACATACTATGTTTGCGACCTTAATGTAAACTAAGTTGTTTACTTATTGGTGTGCCGCGGCTTAAATTGATTACACTGCTCTAACTTATCTAATTGAACTAAATGTTTCAAAGCCTTACGTGTGTACGATAATAATTTATACGTTAAAGTTTACTTAATACTAATTTATAGGTTTTAATCACCGTAAATAACATTGGATTAATAAAAAAAAACTATTACACTGAAACAGTTGACAATCAGATAACGGTTAGAACAAAAAAACAGGCGATTAATGTGGTAGGACTTGAAGAAAATTCTCTTTATCTAACATAAAAACAGTTAATATAAAATTCTCTATGCCCTTAAGGAATTTCAGATTTAATTTAGAAAGTTTTGTGGCAGTACAACACGAGTAAAGTTTGGCTTTCATTAAAGACGTAATAAAAGTAAAACAGAGAGGGAACTTCTGTCGGCTCGGGCTGGAATTGTAATGTATGTTCAACATTCGGTGGTCTCGTTATTATAACTTCGTGAGACACACGAGTCACGAGACGAGTGTAATTTGAATTATTATTTAAAAGTAACGTGTCTAGAATGTGCGTTAGTTAATCTTTGCCAAGATAATTACGCCACGGAAACTGCTAATATAAGGGTAGCCAGAGGGGAAGTGACATATGATGAAAAATACCATTTTTCTTTTACATCCTACTAGCTTTCGCAAGCGACACCGTCCGCGTGAAATAAAAAAATTAAAGTAAGTATCCTACGTGTTATTCCAAACTATGCTCTACATCTATGCGCCATTACATTCAGATACGTTCAGCCGTTTAGGCTACAAACTCTAACACACATCCATCTATCTAAACTTTCGCATTTATAATATTAGTAAGATTAGTTTACTTTTCTGTTTCAGCGATTTAAAGCAGCAACCCCTTTAAAAATCTAAATATATTTATACTTTAATATAACTCTGTGCAATGTACCAAATATCAATGTGTCAATATCATGTTTAATTAATAACCCTTACAGTGATTAGTATACGTAGAGGATGCTCAAATGGCCGTGAAAAGGACGCAATGGACATCAGAGTAGCGATTCGTGACAAGCTTAATTGATTGCCCCATTAACAATCGAGACCACGTTCCGATTTACGGACGGTTTCTAATATCAATATGATTACTTAATGTCCCAAGAAATTAAAGGTAAGTGAAGCTTATAAGCCAGATATTGCGCTAATGTTCTGTGTGTTGAGATTCATAGGTTCGTATAATGTTAGTAATTTTTATTTTGAAAGTTGTTGGTTTTTGAAGACAGGAAACAACCTTTATTACCATGTGAAGCTTCTAAAATATTTAGACATTAAAAATATTGGTTTTAACTAATATTATGTTTTTATAAGTATATAAAATATCGTAGAAATTTTATCAAACAGCTTTTCTTTAGAGAGTCCTTCGATACTGAAGTGTAGCGCTCTAGCCAGCACTGAAAACGTACTTGAAACGTCTTTGGATTTATTCCAGAGACATTGTTATTATATGAAAATGTGTTATTAATTCCAGTTCTTGGTTGTAACATACGTGAGCTTCATTTTATTTATTCTTTACTAGCTATTACTAGTGACTTCGTCTGCTAAAAAGAGATTAAAAAAACACGGTCGTTACTGATAATAATAGCTTTTTCGTGGTGTGAGTATTTTTCAAATCGGCTCAGTGGTTACTGAGTTATTTCTATACATACAAAAATACAAATCTCTTACTAAGAATTAGCTATGTGATAGAAAAGTTTAATTTTATAGTCTTAATCGTGAATTTTTATACATCAATGAAAAACTGAACTAAAATAACTAAGTTTTTATTCTTTAAGGAATGAAAGTTGAGAGCATAGCATTACTCTCCGTATAGGAGGCTCGTTGTCTTTTAGAATCAAGTCACGTGTGGGTTTGATGAATAGAATTCTTCTCGATTCTGATGTGACAGGAATTTCAAACTCCATATTTTTCTTGTGACTGACATAATTTTATTCTTATTGTCCGGTCAGCGGTCCACTCGTAAATCGAAGAATACATTTATATTATAATAGCATTTGCCCGCGACTCCGTCCGCGTGGATTTAAAATAAACTAAGTAGCTTATGTGTTCTTCCAGATTATAAGAGTATAATACCGACGTAGAGACGTCCATGCCAAATTTCATTAAGATCCGATTAGGCTACAAACTCTTACATCCATCCATCCATCCATCTAAACTTTCGCATTTATAACATTACTAAAGTTTTTTGATCAGTTTTTTTAAGATTAGATAAAAAGAAATCAACAATATGTTTATGTAAAAGAAATCTTTGAGAGACACTCTAAACAAGAGTCTTGACTTCATCTCGTTATGAGACGTATATTTACTTAGATTATATTTCCTGAAGACTATACTCAAGATAGAATATTTCAACAAAGTATATTTAAATGTAGAGGAAACTTTGCTTTTCATTTTATTAAATTAATTTAACACTTGTAATACATTTACATCTAATAAATCTGAATAACACTAAGCTAACATTTAACTAATACTTTGAAAACAAATGACTTAACCGGACGCTGTATACACAACGTAGTTTTTCTAAATCCATTGTAGTTTGTGCGATTATCCAATTGCCAAGGCCGAGTCGGATGTAGCTAATGATGGCCCGTGGGCCGTTACGGTCACCTATATATAAAGCTATTTGTGTTAATTGACGCCAGTAACAATGGCCTCTCTATATGTTGTGGTGACATTCGCGGTAATGGCGGCCATCGCAGCCGCCGACAGTGACCGTAAGTTTCTTGCTGTTACCACTGTCGAAACTCGTGTCGGCCCTTTTATCCTCTTCGAAAATTTAATAAATGTTAGAGAGTTTAATTGTAGTTCACAAGATCTTATATTACAAAAAGTTATTATACTTAAATAGATAATAATCTTCCAAGTGAAATCTTTGTAATGTAAAAGAATCAAGTATTTGGTTATCAGATATCAGCGGTTTAGTCCACAACTAAACGTAGGCTTTCCCCAACGCGTAACGTAACAGTATGCCGTCCTTTGTTTTTCGCATGCAAACTGCCAGACACGTAGAGAAACGTCAGGAAGGATGGCGACGTGAACTTGCCTCTAACTTACCCAGTCTCAGAAAACCTTTGTCCATAAATTTACTTCTCGAAACTCCATACAGCTCTATTGAAATTATGTTAATACAGCTTGAGGAAAACACATGATTATCACGTGTCTTGTATTTTTTTAACTCCATAATTAATATTGCTACACTAATCAATGTTAATTGTATTGTTATCTAATTTAGGTAATTAAGATTTATTGAATTTATTATGATTCTCACAATAATTCGAGGAAAAAATCAGTGAAGTTAAAAAGCGAACTAAAGAGGGACTACTTTTTGAATAATATCCAATTTCCTTCAGGTTCTGCATTGCCTTTGTGTCAAATAATGTCACCTTTAGCCTCAGATTGTTAGGTATTAAAACAGTTTTAGAATTACAAATAAAAAAGACGTCCACCGTATGCAATCCACGTTTAAACAAAAACTTTATTTGCATTAGATTAATTTATAGAAAACAAAGTATAAAAAAAAAGTATAACAAGATCATAAACACAAAACCTGCCCCAAGATTTGTAACATTGAAAAAATTGTAAAATAATAAAACTAACACGTCTTAAACCACTTATAAATTTAACTAAATCACTTCCAAAACAATATGACCAATTGCCAAATTTAAATTATAGATACAGATTATAATTAAAATTAAATTTATGAAAGAAAAGTTTAATTTTTATCTGTACAAATTCGAATACACTTAAGTGCGTTTGTGGATTGCAATACAGTGTTGACCAAACATACGTATCGTAAAAGTTCTTGCAGCTATTAAAATATTTAAAAAAATAAGTTGTATAGTAAAAGGAAATAATTTTGTGTTTTTTAATAATGTCAAACTCTTCTGCTAATATTAAAAATTATATAAATGTTAACTTAATTAAATCTGCCTTAAATTGTTTATATTTTATTGAATAATTTTAGTTGTACTTTTTTATATTTTTTATGTCATGATGAATGATTACCAGAATTATAATTAAGAAACAATTTTAATACGAAATATAAACCTACACTAAATTGTGATATTTAATTGACAATATCGCGAGATACTTTTACGATAGGTAATAAAGAGTAAACTTGGAGATTTCGTGAATCACATAAGACAGATATTTGAATTAATAATTAATAAAGGTCAAAATGAAAATGTCTAAAATATTTAAAGCTGTTTCAAAAATAACGTTTTTCGTTTGTTTTATTGTAACTTTTAGATCAGAGTCGAGGCATTGTTGTATTTGGCAAAATTTACTAGCAAGGCTATACATCTGTATTGTAAAGCAGAAGTAAAGCTGCAGACAAAACTGACAAAGCCTGTTAACTATGGGTAAGTTAAGAGGCTCCACTATTTGAAAAAACGGCCAGCACACCTTCCGAAAAAATGTCTTTGGCTTTGGTGAGCAAACTGAACAGCTAGTGTCAACACGACTATTTTTTTGTAGCAACACTGGCTCAATATCCTTGTCGATGTATTTCCTAACGAAGTCTTTAGCTATTTGATTATGTTTATTTCTTTTGAATATATTTTTAAGTGTATATGCCTGTAAAACTCTGCATTGATATTTAATGTTTTTTTCATAACAACAATTATTTACAATATTCTCTTGAGAAAACGCTTTCAGACAATTATCAGAATAATTAAGACATACAGTTGAACTTTTTTCGTAATTGGGGCAGGCAGGTTTGGATCTCCACCTTCGAGGATTCGCTTTAACACTATAACTTACTGAGCAGCACGTTGGTTTGGGATTCAAGCAGCTTGATTTAGGCTTACGCTTGCCAGGATTTGGTTTTATACAATAACAAACTGAGCAAGACGCCGGCTTAAAACTTGGCGCGGCAGGTTTCACCGGCTTAGGCTTACTCTTCTGGGGAAATTTTTTTATACAGTAACATACTGAACAACACATCGGCTTAGTTGCAGTGGCTACAGTTTTCACCTTATTTGTTTTACATGCAGGCGGCTCACATTTAGTGGAGGACCCTTTGTTCTTGCAACCTTTCTTATCGCCTTTCGCAGGCCGTCGTTCTTTTGTTCTGTTTTTATAAAATTCTATGTGGAAACTGAAATTAGAACCGATCCGAACGACTTGGCATTTTGGTGGTTTTGCTGGACAAGGTTCGTGTTTTTTAGCTGTACAACATTTCTTATCAGGTTTTTCTTTTGGTGGACACTCAGGTTTCTGTTTCGCGGGGCACTCCTGTTTCTGTTTGGCGGGACAAGTTCCACTTTTTTCTCCAGGACACTTTGACTTTTTGGGTTTCTTTACTTTTGCGGGTACACACATGTATTGATTAAAATCAAGTGTGTTGCAAGATTGCGAGCGACATTTCGGTTTGGTATTATTTTTTCTGCATTTGTAAACAGCTACAGGACACGGTGGGCGAGATTTATCAACATACGTACCGAATCTAAAAGTTTCGCTTTTTGTGCGAATACAATTTGGTTGCCTTTCATCTTTAAACATCTTAACACACACAATAGCTGTTGTATTATCCTTCTTCTTATCTTCAACGTTCAATTTTATACAACTCGCATTTTTCTTAGCACTTTTTCCTTTTGCGTTTTGTTTCACATCTTTCTTTGCCACTTTTTTAGTTTGAGTTTTTTTATTACATTTGCATACGTCGCATTTCTTTAAAATTATCTTTTTCGGACATTGTTTCCCGCATAATTTTTCTCTACTTTTAATAATTGAATTCAAAGACCGGGCACTGATGCAGGGCTTCGGTTTTAGTTTAGCTTTGACTTTAGCGCAACAACCTCCTTTTGGATAAGGATCGGTACGTGTTCCCTTTTTAAACAAAGAAATTTTAGCTTGTGAAGCCTTTCTGCAGGTGGTCTCCTTTTGACATCCAATATTCTTGCTACTCTTGACTTGAACGAGGGGTTTATCATCACAAATTTTTTTCTTGATACAACATCTTGCAATGCACGGCATTTTTATATCATTACCTTTCGAACAATCTAGCTTCGTACAGCTTTTCACAACTTTGCGACATTCTTTGGGCAAACTATTTAATAGGTTTTTTTCAAGGGGGAAACATTTCATTACAGTATCACAGGAACTTTTACCTTTAGCACTACGACTATCATCGTCAACACTTTCTATTGCTTCAACTTGAACGCACGTAGTACGATTACAACATTTCTTGACCACTCGCTTTATGAATACATTCGTCTGCTTCCGAGGCTTTTCTGGAGTGACCTCCGCGCATGGCTCCTGAGCCTGAACGGACCTTTCTCGAGAGCACGGCCGTGTGCATGATGATTTTTCATTGCAACAAGTAGTTTGTTTACGGTCCTTCACGGGGAGCAGAGCGGCGCCTTTGTCGACAGTGTTAATGAACTGGACGATAGCTTTAATTTTTTGAGCTTCACATGGTGACAGACTCTTCCCACATTTACCATCAATACTAGTTAGACTTTCACAAACTTGATGCCTCGTGTCATCGTAAACAGCTCTCGATTTTAATAATTTTTGAAGCAACTTTGCTTCCTTGGGTTGCAAAACACATGGACTGCACACATTGTAAATTTTAAACTGTTGAGGGTAAATGGTTTTGATTTGTGTTTTACTTTCCAGGTTACGTGGGCAAAAGGAGATACTTCTTCTGGGACAAATAAAAGTATCAGAAGGCGGTTTCATGTTACTAAAGCCTTTCCTTTGATTCTTTTAGCATTACCAAAAATCAGAATCCTTTTACCGTGCGATGTAACAACTGCACGAGTTTACGTTTTAAAATTGAAATATCTGCAAATAAAACATTAGATAAAAAACATGTACAATTTGTTAATTTATTATACCAACGCAATTACCAAGATTACATCATTACGGTAAAGATGTATACTAGTATAATGCCTTCTATGGTAACGTTTGCTTACAAACTTTAGGATTTCATGTGATGAGACCTTTTTTGAGTGTCGTATTCTAAACAGCGTGAAAAATTACCTAAATCAAAGACTTCAGGATAAGTTGTATAATCATTTATATAGAAAAAACCTTGACTATGAAACAGAGAGTGAAATGAGTTTAACTTCTACTTTTATAGCCAAAATAGGTCATGTAACAAACTGTAATAATTTTCGACATATCCTTCAACCAAAAAAGAAACAAAAACACTACTTACTGTTTCTCAACTTTGTTACTTTTCATATAATACATGACTCTCTAAAATATACCTTTATCCGTGTAAAAAAATAATTACAAAGAATTTAATCATTCTATATTAGTACGAATAATTTTCAACAATCATAGACCTGTCACTAAAATTATTTGATTTTTGAATGACACTAACAGATAATAAACAAGCAATTCAACTCAAGCCGAATCTAAACCCAAAAACGTTTTGAAAACCAGTTAGAACCCTTTCAAGTTCGGCTAACCACCACAAGATATAATCTAAAAAGAAAGTTGTTTTTCGCACTACTACTTTCAGAAAAATGTAAAAATAAAAATATTTACGAACTATTACAAACACCTATTATACTTTCGGACATAACTGGGATAAGGCACCACAGTCACCTGATCAGTTAATTTTGTTGGACTATTTACAAATTACTTTGCCATGAACTTACAATAAATTCATAGAGTAATCTTAGTCTAAAAAGTAAATTGTGATAAGCGCCATCTATCAAAAAGGCAAGGTAATGGAATGAATGTTTTCTAGTTCTTGAGTATGAGAACTGTTAAGGTAAGGATAAGTAGGATATGGGATAAATAACTATTTTGTACAGTTAGCTGCATAGTCATTTATACATTTTTAAAACATTAGAAAGTTGCATAGGCTTTCAGTTTTAATATGTATGCACTTATCGTATAACATGTATTCAAGGGTGGATGGCACCAAAATACATATTTTTAAAACCGAAAGCATATATAAGTTTCCATAGGTTGGTTAATGTACACATATTTATATCGCTGACTGTACATCTTCACCTTTTAACTTATCATACTACATTTGTATAAATGAATTAGATTCTTTGTTATAAATTTATTTACAGTCGAATAAAAAGTCCTTAATGATTTATATATTTAATCTTGTTTTTATAATTATCAACTAGTGGTATCATCTTCGGATCCACTCTCTGAGTCGCTGGGCGGCCACATTGGTCTGGAATCCTCATTTTCTTTACCCGCACTTTCTAAAAATTTGTTCTGAGCTTCTAAAACACTTTTGCTGTCAGTACAAGCACTATAAAGACTCAACACATCCGAATTCAATTCTAAAAACGAATGTCCCCATGAAAATTTAGATAAATAAAACTTAGCTTCCTTTTTATGGCCTGTAATAAATAATGCTGCCGCCAAAGCCTCCACACAACTTAGTTGGTAGGGTTTGCCATAATTTATTGGATTTGCTGCTACCAAAAATGGTAGAAGTCTTGGATGTGGAGATTTCATTCGACCAAATGGTGTTTCGTCAATTTTTGCCCAAGAACAATCGATCACCGCAAGACCATACTTTTCAATGATATCTTTATCATTCGGGCTAACACATTGACTGCCAACTGGTGACAATACAAGGCCCTGAAATCTCTGCCCAAGTTTTAAGTTTTTTATTAGGTTATGTCTTAATAATTTTCTTCCAGAGCACTTTTTGGGATCACAGTGATTTAAATCCCACATACTGATAGGAAAGGCAGCTTGAATACCTTCTTCCTCATCGGAATTATTGGAAGAATCTGCATCGCTTGAACTTTCTGAACCACTTTCCTCCGATGACTGTACGCTGAGATCCTTTAGTCTTTCAGCATAATTTCGCTCAACATGATGATTTGAACGCTTGCCTCGAATACCCCCTCTTTTTCCTGGTGGCATCGTTATAAATATTTAGATAAATACAAGAGCACTTTTTATTTACACTTAACTTTGACAACACGCCTTGACATTGACATAACTCAAGTCAAAACAAACTTTGACATAAGTTGCCAATGTTGCCTTAAAGTGGGAAATAAATTAAAAATAAATAAAAAACGAATGATTTATTAGCGTAAGTCATTAACAAAAGAAGCTTTCCGATAAATAATTTGAAGCTAAAACAAATCACTAATTACATAAAAGTACTTTTTTAAGGAGTTGATGATTGGTAATTGTGTAAAGAATTCGATCTGCCTGGATTAAAAGCTAGGGTTGATGCTGTAAACAAAGTTACGTAAAATATAAACTACTTAAAATGGATTAAAGTATACACTAGTAAACTTTCGATTTGTGCTTGTTACTGCTACTCGTTACTGATCTCTTTTAATAAAGTCAAAAATATTTTAAAAAACCTTACTGCTTCACCATTTATGACATAAATTCAAATAAAAATTGACATTTACAATAGGTCAAAACTTGTTGATACATTATAAATATTTCGACAAATTAGTTGATTATTTTGTTGTAAAAGTTGTAGGTACATCATTCAAAATTGATTTCTCACGAGGAAGGATGAGCAGTGCCTCTATGGCCGGTGAGTCTTTCGTTGGGTTAAAATTATAATTGAGTGATTTTATGTCGATAAAAGAAAATTATAGGTGTGCTATCTTGAAGCTAAAGCTGCTAAAGCTATATGTTCAGATGGTTAATCTAGGCCCGAAAGCCACTTCAATATTCTATAGTTTGGTCCACAGTCTTTTGACCCGATTTTAACGAAACTTTATTTTATACCAAAGAAAATCTTTTGATAAAACAGCATTTCATTATGGTCCTTATTTGTGAGCTATGAAAAGGTTGATAGATATTGTTTGTACAATGATTTACTTGTTATCTTAACAAATTTGTTTGTATAATACAGTCATACATTTATTAATACCATGCATTAATATATCAGCACATTTTTAGTCTTAAAAAAAAGAAACTAATCGCATTGGGTTAGCTACTAAGGTCGTCCCTAGTAACCCTAACCTGGATAGGGTATCTAGGTATAAATGTGAACTAAAATATCTGGGTATGAATGTGTGTTCTTATTATCTATTACTGTGACAGTTCTAAAGCTTCGGGCGGCATTACAACATTGACTCATTATATTATTTTAATCGATATCCATGTCCTTGTATTACATGCACCATATCCATCGATTGTTATCAAACACGACATGTTACCTTGATATTACACCCCCTTGGGTACCTACATCAAATCATGGTACTTATTCACTGTCCATCGTCGATATCAATAATAGGTCAATGCAAAAAATAAGTACAGTAACTTACAAACATATTGTGCAGTCTAAGATCTACTAAAACGTATAGGATAGGAGAAGACATACGGATGTTTGTTATTTAAAAATCTTTGTGCCTTGCCTGTTATGGCTTTTGATTGCATTTTATAAGATAATTTTCTCATTGTATGTAACGCACACGTAAAAGGAGCAAGGTTATTTTATTCTCTTGCGAGCTAAATGACTCATTTTGTGTTCGATTCTAGCGTGAATCACACAACTATAACTTTGTTGGAGCATAGCGTTTACAATTTAAAGATAATTACGGTATATTATTGTTCATCGATTCGCCACTAGCGTGTTACCGTATACAGTGCAAGCATTATTACTGGATTGGAGGTTATCGGTATCACAAGTCTTTACCGTTACGTTTGAAAAGGCGGCAACGTAAGTAGAAAAATGTAACCACTTGTAATGTCCTGTGCTTAGTTCGCGAATGCAACATATTTAAAAACTAAAAGTAAAATAGTTTTTGATATGAACACGTGAATCGTACACAGGGTTGTTCTTTTCTTTGTAAATCTCTCTGGACATCTAATATAATGTATTCTACATTACGGACTGAACATTACGTTCTTTTCGGTCTTATTTTATTTGCATAATAATTAATGGTATTGTTTCATAACACAAATAAGATATAACCCAAATTTAAATGGTAATTAGAAAAGTTAAGAATACGTTTAATTTTATTTGGAAGTGATTAGGCCTCGATAAGGTGAACCAGGCTATTAGGAATCAAAAGGACTACAGAAGTCGAGTCTCACTGCACCTATATTACTACCGTTACCATCTACTACCATATCGCATTAACTCCTACTATTTCGATGTTATTTTTCTTGTCAAACCATTTGTGCAGCAAACACTGCGGATACCTTTAACAATTGCATTTGTGAGGCAACCTATTCTGTAAGGTTTGGTTTGATGTTTTGATAGTCATCTTTTAATAATACTGAATACGGTTGATTTGATGAGTTATTGTACTGAGAACTGATTGTCTAGACTCTAGATAATGTATTAAGACAAACAATAATTACGTCTCGCTTCATTTGCGAACGACGTCTCTAAAACATTCCAAGATTACTGGCATCATCAGGCCGATTATGATCCGGCGTAGGTTGGGCTGATTCACTAAATTCGATCGACCGTGACTCGTCCTTTTGTTGAATGTTATCATTGTAGAACAGAACATAATATCGATTTTACTTAATTATTCATGTACAAAGCGACCTGGCGGTAATTGTGGTTGTCACTGTATCTTTCAATGTTTATAACTGGAATATTACCGACGTTCGATCGTATCTAGTTCAGACTAGACTAGACTTATAACAATTTCGTCGTTTGATTACTTATTTTATTATTTAGTAAGTCTAGTTTAGAGGTTATATTTTTCACAATCGAGATACGACATTATGTAACTACACATGTTTGAAACCAAAGAAACTGTTTTAAATATTTAATTTTATACTGCTGGTTCCTTTTATTAACTTGCTTTGTTTGCTGGTACAAAAACCTTGGCTATAAATCGATATGTAAACCTATGTTATTCACTTGAGTTACAATAGAAATAGTGGTGAAAGTATTATAGGGGCTACATTAATATTAATACTAACGCCTGTTCTAATGAGAATTCTACCCATTTTTTTTCCGTTCCAATTAGTACTAGAGTTTGTAAGGGGGTCGCAGAATAATTATACTAAAGGGGTAGTGTCATGAATAACACTGTTGTAATTGTATACGTATGTTTGCAGCCTGCTTCAACTACGATACCAAGGCGAAGGGGAATAAATTCGACGCAAAAGAAATTATGGATCCAGCCACTCGTAAGTACATGATTTTAATTTTGAACATATAGTAGAAAACAATAGTGACGTCCCTGTATCACCCTTTTATTTCTTTACTAGCTTTCGCCCGCGACTCCGTCCGCGTGATATTAACAAAAACAAAACCATGTAACCTATGTGTTCTTCCAGACTCTCCTCTACATCTATGCCAAATTTCATTAAGATCCGTTCAGCAGTTTAGCTTACAAACTACTAACATCATCACATCCATCCAACCATCTGTCCATCTAAACTTCTTCTTCATCTAAACTTCACATTTATAATATTAGTATGAAGTATGATATTTACCAAATCTGAAAAAAAACTAGTTTTAAATGTTTTGGGCTAGACGGTATGTTTTATGTTTGCGTGTTGATATTTGATTACCTATATGCACGCAATACATGTAGAAGGATGAAGGACGGTTTGTATCTTTGTACATTTTACTTATTACTTCTTGCGACAAGAAGTAAGTATCTACCTGATGTTAAAATCTAAAATTCCTACTGCTAAAGACATTAGAAACACTAACAATTTATGCAAGATCCCAACTATCAGTGATAACAGCGTCACTTTAAGCGGGCCAATGTTTTGACAATAGCAAATTACAGAGTGCATAGGTAGGTACTTTGCCTTTCAGTGGAATCGTGAGCTTATTTATCAAAACCATCCGCTATGAAGGTTAAGGTTAGGAGCTCTATTTCTAAATGTAAAACTCCCAAGTAGGCGCTTATTAAAAAGAAATAACCTATTTCTTATTCTTGGATATTCGAAAAATAAAATTATATCGAATTCAAAACAAAACCTCGCTACATCATTTTCAGTTAGTCGTAGAATAATCGTCGAGCGATGAAGACGTATTGTAATTTTTTTATAAACATTAGAACTCGATGATTATAAAGTGAAATTTATTTATTCTAAATTAAAAATGAGTGAAAAGTATATCGGTAAACCAAAAACATCATCAAACAGTAAGTTACGAAATATTTACTTTTGCGCTAACATGTTTTAATTAAATAAAATACTTATGCAACGAAAAGATTATCCTATTTTGAACATAAATTGTTAAAATAACCCTTCCTACATTTTTAACTTTAAATAAAATTTCATCTTTTGGTGGTCTTTTCGTTTTATAGATAGTTACAATAATTTTAAAATACCTTTAAACGTGAAATAATCGATTACCTACTTATTTCAATCATTTGCTGCAGGTCACAGGGATATGCGTTTGTTTATGCGGCATCATAGTATGCGAGTTGTAAAAATAAAAAATGTATAACGAACCGTGTCACTTTCACCGTAAATGCATTGATTTTTGTATTTATTTCGTATCTGCCTGTTGTTTTGTGTAATAATCTAATAATATTGTGACGTGAAATTATAGTGCGTACAAAATGGATGCCGGCCGGCCGCAAATCTGCAATAGGTATTTTTAAATTACGATTACATATTTATTATAATGTCAATTGAACGTCCATAGAATGTTGCATCCGTGAAAGCTTTTTCTTTTTAAACACTGCGGATGATATAAAGAAGTCCAAGGAAAAGCATCGATTTTAATCACGACTGAATTCGATTCTCGTGTCGAAGTCCGTATCGATTCATTCAATTTAAACGATGTTTTTAAGCAGGTTACTCACTATGAAGCTAAAATTGATAGGTGTCAAATCGTGACCCGCCTATGGTTGTTTATTATGAATATCAATGTATTTAATTTTTGATAAGAAATTCAAAACAAAAGTTACTTCAATAGTTCGAAGATGAATTTTTCATTGCTACTCTAATGTGAATGTGTTGAAAATTGCAGTAGCATGGCATCGTCCCCAATCTGCGTCGTCCAGACAGGAAGAGGAACTCATCCAGAAGAGTACCCGGGCGGCTTCACAGGCAACAGACCCCTTGGAAAAGCTGCGGCTGTTGTGCTTGTCTCGTGGAGCTACTGGGATATTGGGCCTGGGAAGGTCAGCATCTTAATTCATACAGAACACTATTAATTTCTTTTTTATGTTGTCTGGAACATTTCTGCTCCTCTGAAATACTATGGACCACTAAGAAAACAGAATTGTAAAGTACTTATTGTATTTCACTGATTTTGTTTTGGTGACACCCAAAAGCTATACAATATTTTTTAAGTACGGTAATAACAGTCAATGTTGTATAAAAAGCAGTAAAAATCAACACAATGGTAGTCATTAAAGCAAATAGCATAGATCTCCAGTAATATAGATGAGGCAATTTCTTTTAATGATGATCATTATTATTGATTCAGAGTCTTCAGAAGAATGGATGATGATGGAAGCAAACAACTTAACAAAGAGGAATTCATCAATGGCTTGAAGGAAACAGGATTAGAGATTACCAAAGAGGTATTCTTACTTTATCCATATTTAATATTTTATGTGTAGTTTTTATTAACTGAATTGATTTTAAATTTTAGGAATCGGAGGAGTTATTCAATAAATTTGACACGGACAAAAGTGGATCTGTCAGTCTTGATGAATTTATCAAACAACTACGAGTAAGTAAATTATATCATATTTAAATTTATGCTGGTATAGATAAAGAATGGTGAACTTTTACATAACAACATACCATTTTTTTATACTTAATGTCATTGTTTACCAAGAAATAATATTGTTGGGTGAGAGGCTATTCTGAATATATGAGTCAATATCGCGTAAAATGGTGGTTAAAACGAATAGCCTTTCACCTGTCGATATGTTGACTGTTGTACAACTATTTGATTTTTGAATACATTTTGTGCGGGGATTACACATTCCTGCTCCTTAAAATACTTATTTCACACTTTGTTGTTGATGCATTAAGAATTATGTGATGTGGCCAAAGTATTGAATTGCATGCCACTAATGGAATTGCTATTTGTTAGCCATCACTGATCTATAAGTTAGAATCTATGATGCCACTTTACTGCTAACATTAACTTCATTGGTTACTAAGGGTGTCACTTAACATGAGTGTGAATTTTGCATTCCAGCCGCCTATGTCTGACTCAAGGCGTGCCATAGTAGAGCAAGCATTTAAGAAGTTAGACAAAACTGGAGACGGTGTGTTGTCTGTGAATGATATAAGAGGTGTTTATTCTGTGGAAGCTCATCCAAGGTAGAGTATAAATATCTGATAATATAGACAGATGATGGTGTTTGACTCGGTGAGCAAAAGTCAAATTAAATCATGACAAAAAACAAAATTAAGTAGCCTATGTGTTCTTCCAAACTATCCTCTACAACTATGCCAATTTTCATCGAAATCTGTTCAACCATGTATGATGTTTGTTAGCGTTTGTAGTTTTTGAATTTTTATATTAGTTAGATTGTTTACCTTTATCACACAATTTCGAGAAACGACTAAAAAAGTATGAAAATGATGTTTGATGTTTATCTGTTCTGTTAGTTTGGGCTTTGGATCAAATTGGAATGATAATCTTATTAATATAAATGCGAAAGTTTAGACCGATGGTTAAACAGATCTTGATAAAATTTGACATGGATGTAGAGGATAGTGTGAAAGAACACATAGGCTACATGTTTTTGTTTTTTTTTTTTTTAATTCCACGCAGACGGAGTATATGGTAATTATATGTAACATTTTTAAGCGGAATATATGTATTTTTTATAGATACATGAGCGGCGAAGAGACAGCCGATGTGGTGATGACCAGGTTTCTGGCCAACTTTGAGCCAGATGGCGGCAGTGACGGAACGGTAAATATTTTCAAAAGTATATACACCAATATTGCTGTATTCTAACAAAAATATCTACATTAGGTTGAAATTAGTAGAAGATGAAAGTTTGTATATGGCAATATTTAATTGGTATTAAAATGCCCCTAAATATGTTTGTCATATTATTTTAACTTTCGCACGCGAATCCGTCCGCATGGTATTAAAAAAAAATCAAAACCAATTAGGCTGTGTTCTTCTAGACTATACTCTACATGTATGCCAAATTTCATTAAGATCAGTAGTTTAGGCTATATACACTATAACAAACATCCATCCATCTAAACTTTCACATTTGTAATATTAGTATGATTACTATGATTTCGAATTTCGAAGTGTTTGTATATATTTGAAATGTTGAATAAATATTGATAAAGTTATTGATGTTTGATTACGAAAATGTGTAGATAATTGCTTAAAAGGAATGGCATGATCTATATTTTTAGGGTTATAAATTATGAATATATATTTTTTGTAACAGGTAACATTGGAAGAGTTTATGAACTACTACAGCGGCATCAGTGTGTCAATTGACAATGATTGTTACTTCGACTTGATGATGCGTCAAGCTTATAAGTTGTAACTTCAATATGCACAGAAACGCATGCATTTACTAATAACGTTTACTACGCACGCCGCAACATTCGACAATCGCTTAATGCTTAATGTTATGCATAAAATTATTTTGGTGTTCCATTGTTCATGATAAAGTATGACGAGTGTATTTACAATAAAGTATTAACAAAAAAGGTATTTTTATTTCACCATGTAACGGATCGTCATAAAATCCATAAGTATCAAAGAAATTATCAATTTATATAAAGGGAGGCAGTGGCATGGTATCCAACCATTCGTCTAAACTTTCGCATTTATAATAGCATGAAAAGCCTAAACGGCTGAACGGATTTCGATAAAATTTGGTGCAGATGTAGACGATAGTCTGGAAGAACACATAGGCTAATTACTTTTGTTCTTTTTTTTAAATTTCACGCAGACGGAGTCGCGGGCCAAAGCTAGTGTTAGTATAAACTTGATTCATTGGGTACTGTAGCCATAAAAAAAACTTTTTGGGACTGGTTGTAAAACGAGTTGATTATGGTAATTACGATAAATTAAGTCAGTTGACTGAAAATTGGTTATTATAAGTTAAAAAGTTGGATGATGAATGGTTGACTCAACGAACTAGTTGAATCAACTGTTGTTGCCCATCCCTAGGTGGGAGAGCTCTGCGCATTTGCGCAACGCGAATGCGCCGATGATGCCCGGTTCACACTTGGCCAGTACAGTTGAACAGGTGATGTCAATAACTGGACTGACATTGAACAGTTGTAATGTGAACACTAACTGAAGCCAGTGTTTCAATACAATTTAAGACTGGTCGGTTCAACTGTCCAACTGTGCTGGCAAAGTATGAACCGGGCATGACCTTGGAACCGGACGCCAAGACCAAGACATTTGAAAATTAAAGTCTGTGTTTGGTTAGTCGCATTTAGTCTGTTAGTCATACAAAATACTTTACTTGAAGGAGACTTATTGCAACATTTAAAGGGAAATAATACGACATCAACGCTATTAAGTGGAATAATTTCGTTCAAAATAAAAATGGTGGACATGTATCTTGGTAAACCAAACACATTGTCAAACAGTGAGTACGAAAATTCTACTTTTAAGCAAACTCGATGTTTACGATTATAACAAAATAATTTTGTACATAAATTGTAATAACTTTTCTTTACATTTAAATCTGGGTAAAATTACTGGTAATTGCATAATTTTAACCATATTTTTTTCTATTAGGATCGTAATATCACGATGCGTACTGTTCAATACATTTATATTAACTTATTAGAAGTGAATTGATTGACAACATTAGCTACTTATTTCAATAGTTCGTTAGTTTTGGGTAATAGGAATTTGCGACAGAAGCATTGTTTTTCGACGCCGCGTAAAGAATTGTACTAATGAAAAATAAACGTTTTATGATTCACAACAAACCGGCTCACTTTCACATGTAATAACGTATAAACTTCATTCACAATTAACAGTGTTCATTCCGTATTTGTTGTTTTTGTGTAAAAATTTTACGAAGCATTACAGTGTTTACAAAATGGATGCCGGCCGGCCGCATATTCGCAATAGGGATGCGTAGTGCGTAGTGCATTGCAAAACATCGATGTTTGAAGATTCGCATATTTATGTTAATAATAATACCTAAAAGCTGTTCATTTAATTTGTTATGTTTACGGTCTTGAATTATATGGGCCTGCGAGAATGATTTTCATGTCTTATTCAGATAGCAATTTATTGCAAGTTATTTTTCAGTGTTATAAAAATTCAAAATTGTTCAACATTATATCAATAGTGTGAAAGGGTCCTATCTTCAGGGGCATAGCTAAATGCGTATGCGCTTATTCTCTATCTTACTTAAACAAAAGCACTGCAGTTCTAAAAAGGTCCAATAACAGCTATGTGGGCGAGTCTTTTGAGTTGCAATTCAAAATGCAATTTGGAAACAAAAAAAAATACTGTTTCACTCGCGGTACCAGGATCGCATAACTTCTGCTATCTGTTTGTTTGAGTCAAATTTGAGTTGTCTTCATAACAAGTAAACTACACGATTTTATAAATTTCTAAGTAAGTTCTAATTAAATACCCATAGGTGTTATTGGTATTTAAATGTTGTCTTTACTTCACGTGGAATATATGGACTAACCCGATTTTATAATTAACTTTTCCTGTTAATTAGTTAAGGATGATTTTCGATTGTAACAATTCGTGTTGTCAGTCATAGTTACTAAATGTATTCATACGCAAGCGTTGTCGTATCGATTATCTGCTCAGCCTACGCCCTCAGGTAAAATCTAAATAGTATTATTTGAAATACCTACCTAATCTACTTCGACTGGTATTGCGTAAGCTTCGCCTTTGTCAAACTGTTGACATTATGTTTAACTAATAATTGCTATATAATTTTCATGATTATCATATTTTCCGTTGTGAATTGAAGATAAACATCGACTTGTAAAAAAAAACTTGTGTGCCTACGTGTTCCTTCGGGCTATGTACTACATCGGTGTAAAACATCGATATATATCGACGACATTCCCAATACATTAATTACTCGCATCCTTATTCTGAATCGGAAAATATATTGAATATTTATGATTTTAAAAAGAAAAAAAAATATTTTATCGTTATTGTATTCGAAATTGCAGTAGCATGGCATCGCCCTCAATCTGCTGCATCCAGAGTGGAAGAAGAACTCATTCAGAAGAGTATCCGGGCAGCGTCACAGGCAACAGACCCTTTAGAAAAGCTGCGGCTCCTGTGCTTTTCTCGAGGAGCCACTGGGATACTGGTCCTGGCTAGGTTAGGGTCTCAATACTTACTTCTGATCTGAATTCTTCCTATAATTTCTGTAATACAATAGGGCCATAAAAGTAAGCGGAACTATAAAGATGTACGATGAACCTCTAGGAAGACAGGTGTACGAAAAGTACACATTTTATTTGTCTGTTAAGTTTGACGGGTATTTGGGATCTCAGTTTTGTATTGATGATGGCATTTAAACCTTAAAAATTAACTTGTTACTTCGCTGGCGCAGCGACACTGATATTTTCCTCCGACTCAAGAGAACCCCGACGCACCATCATCTTCAGTCAGTTAAAAGTTAATTAACGTGCCTTGTTATTTTAAGTAGTTTTTTTTTAGTTCAGAAAAGAAGTTTTCAGGAGATTGTTTCTAACGCTAGAAGTATTTATATCTAAGAGTTAAATTGATTCAGGATCTTCAGAAGCATTGATGATGGAAGCCATAAACTAAGCAAAGAAAAATTCATCGGCGTTTTGCAGAAGACAAATCTGGAAATGACCCAGGAGGTACAGATATTTATACTAGCTGTTGCTCGCGATTTCTTCCGCGTAAAATTATAAATTATGAAAAATGTAGCCTACACTAACTAATAACGTAACTTTTTAATGGTGAAATTTTTTTTCGAAAAGGTTTTAAAACGGTTTTCAATGTACTTAGAATTAAAAATTCCAGCAATGTAGATAAATATAGGGGAAATCCCCTAGTTCATTCTGAATTCTGAAAAGACTATCTTTATTGACAACTTACCTAATTATAAAATTAAAATAAACATGGACGCAACTTCTGCAAATACATATTTAAAAACATAAATAACCGAATGGACAAGAACTTCGACTATAATGAGAGACTCATCTTGGTTATGTTTTAAATTCTAGGAATCAGAGGAGTTATTCAATAAATTTGATACGGACAATAGTGGATCTGTTAATCTTGATGAATTTATCAAAGAACTACGTGTAAGTATGGAGATAATCTTACTTCTTTAGATGTATGTTTGTTAGAGTTAACCTAAACTACTGAACGGACCTCGATGTGTGTCATAGATGTAGAGGTTAGTCTGGTATACATAGTCTACGTTCGTTACAAATGTTCCACGATCGATTGTACTGCAAAACCTTCTGATTTCAATCGAAACTGACGTGACGTGATCGATGTACAACTAGGTTTTGCCCGTGACTCCATCGGCGTGGAATTAATAAAAACAAAAGTGTCTATATGTTCATCCAGACTATCATCTACATCTATCTAAATTTCATCGAAATTCGTTCAGCCGTTTAGGCTACAAATTCTAACAAACATCCATCCATCCATCCAAACTTTTGCTATTATAATATTAGTACGATATCGAGGCGGGGTGCTTGCCAACTGGGTGAGGTTTTCCACTCGTTATCCTTAAGTGTCTCCCTTAGTAACCCGTGACATTATTCTAGCCTCCTATGTCGGAGTCACGACGCGCCGTAGTGGAGCGTTCTTTCAAGAAGTTAGATAAAACGGGCGAAGGTTTGCTGTCTGTAGAAGATATAAGAAGAGTTTATTCTATGGAAGCTCATCCTAGGTAAATAATTATATTGTGAAATTTAGGATTTACAAAAATAAGTAATGTAATGTATTCTGTTGCAGATACATGAGTGGTGAGGAGACAGCCGATGTGGTGATGACGCGTTTCCTCGCTAATTTTGAGCCGGACGGTGACAGCGGCGGGACGGTACTATTCTAAATTACAATATACTTTGCTAACTATATAACTGTTATAAACAAAAGTAAGTAGCATATGTGTTCTTCGAGAAATCCTCTACATTTATACCAAATTTAATCGAGACCCGTTTAGCAGTTGAAGTTGCAAACTCTAACAAACATCCATTCATCTAAACTTTCGCATTTTATATATTAGTAAGATTTGATCAAACAATTTTGTCAAACCTTTTTGATTACCTGACAATTTATTGAATCATTGAATTTTTAGGGTATAGTTTGTCTAAATAAGATTAGTTTCATAAATGAAGTATGAAGTATCAAATTCAATTTGTATGAAGATAAATGCCGTACTTAATAGATAGGTCTCGTAGTGACGAAACAAACACGCATAGCGACCAATTTTGAACTATCGATATTCGGTTTAAATAATTATCGATCTCAATTAAAATTATTTTCTTACTAATTTATAGGACAATTCTAGTATTGATTATAGTGTCGAGAATTTAGCGATGACAGAAATAATAACGAAATCCAATTCGATTACGTACGGCTGTAGTAGTAATACACATTATTTACTATCATTATTTGTTATGGTCTTTATTAATTTGAGAAAACAGTGTTTTTTTTTAATTCATAAGTTATAACTATAAATCTTTCGATTCCAACTTCTATAGAAATAAAAATCGAAAATCGATAAGATTCATGACTGATTTTACACTACCCATCCCTACTGCATTTGAAGTGGATTGTCAAACTAATCTAAATTATTTAGACACACTATAGTTGTATTAATGTGAACAGATAAACAAATATGATCGGAATTAATATTTTTTTAACAGGTAACATTGGAGGAGTTCATGAACTACTACAGCGGCATCAGTGTGTCAATTGACAATGATTGTTACTTCGACTTGATGATGCGTCAATGTTACAAGTTGTAATTTAAATATGCACATAAACTTGTATGCTATTAAACGTTTAAACTACAAGCGTATAGAAGATATTCTTGCGATACGCCATTATCAAGAGCCACACTAAACCTTTGAGAATATAAACGTCAACTACGCACGCAGGCTGCAACGTTCAATAATAGGCGACATGCATATGACGCCAAATTGCACCAAACTTTTTTTAAGTATACTTTATTACTAAAAAAACAGTCCTGCAAAGATTTTTTTAATATATTGTGATTTTGTGGCAAAATTTAATCATTAAAAAGTGTCTTTTTTTCAAATTCCCTCGCTAAGTTCTAAACGCACACTATTGGTCGAAGCAAGTGGCTTATCTAATATGGCGTCGCTGTGTTGTCAACACACAGTTCATTTACGTTAGTTTATATAGAAATACATTCTTGAAGTATTTTACTGTAAACATGATATCAAAACCAACTTTAAAATAAAAAATTAATGAATAGAATTAATTTACCACCACTTATTTGTACCAGGAATAATAAAAATGAATCGATTTTTGACCTTGAGAAGCTTTGTTGTTTTTTTACGTCGAAGTGATATCTGAGCGTATGTTATGAATGAAATAAGACGATTGACGTCACTTGTCTATTGATAACTCCGGTCGCGTTTTAGTCGCTGGAAATTGGTCGTAATTTTATTTTATTATTTTTAGCTCATTGGTTGAATATTTTCGCGTTAATTTTTTTCTGTTTTTTTTTTTTTATAACAAGTTAAATCGTTTAAAAAAAGAAAAAAAAACACATCCATATTCCCTATTGCTTAATGCTTAAAGCATAAAACTATATTGGTATTCAACTGTTCATGATACATTATTCCGTGTATATTAACAATAAAAGTTTAATAAAAAAAAAGTGTTTTTATTTCGCCCTAACATCTTACTGTATCATAAAATCAACTCTAAAGGAATATTTTTTGGATCAAACACGTTTTGAAGACAAGTGTAAGAACAAATCTATTCCGTAATGTCTTGATATACAATTGTCCGGGACTAACGTGTACAATGGACTACCACAGATTCCTTGATCGAAAATATGACGATTTGATTACTAACCTCTATCCGAATTTTTTAGTTTGAACGCCAGAGAGGTTTAGTTTGATAATGATTTTACATTTATTTAAAGCGTTTTATAGATTATATCCATATTGAAAGCATGGTTTCTGTTAAGCTACACTTTATTTATATTTATACTATTATAAAGAGGAAAAATTTATATTTTTGTATGTATTGAAATAACTCAAAAACTACTGGGCCGTTTTTAAAAATCCTTTCAACGATAGAAAGGTAATTTATCTGTGAGTAACATAGGCTACATTTTTTTAATTTGATATAGCGAACACAAACAATAAGGGTAACCAAAAAATCAGCTTACAAGCTACCGGGCTTAAAAATTTGGAATCTTGCATCGGTAGGTTTCTGTTATTACGTAGATTACTACTAAGTTAATACTTTTAGTAATAGGTTGAAAAAAAAGGGCGAACGTAAGATTTGAACTTTTAAATTTCACGCGGACGAAGTCGCGGGCAAGAGCTAGTTAACAAATAAAATAATAAAAGCTGCTTTCAAAAAAGTTTTTTTACAAATTCTTCATTCCTTTTTTAAACTTTTGATTTGTAAAGACAATTATCCGTCACTATAGTGTTAGTCATTCTTTAGATGTTTATACAAGAAGAAATGAACATAAATTCCTAAAATATAGGTTTTGGATAAGATTCGTTTAGTTGTCAAAAGTGAGAAAGGTATGTTTTATAACCTTGTAGTAAATGTGTAACTTAGTAAATTCAAGGAATACTAAAAACCACGAAATTGTCCGTTTTAAAAGATTTCACCTCTAGACCAATAAAACATTTATTTATTCAATAATATGCTTGGCCATGATCCCACAAGATAAAAAGTGGCGATTAGTCTATATATAGGTCCGATAATTTAGTAAATGCCTTTTCACTCTACTGTAATAAAATTATAAGTGTAAATTTTATTAAATTACCGGCTAGACGTTATATTTCTGTGTCACCGTTCGTTTCCTTTGCTGCGATCTGGGTTAGACGTCAAATCTCCAACTGCATAAAGTGGTCCGAAATCGGTTATGTTTCGATCGTCAAAACTTTCTGTACAAAATGTTATTGAATAATCTATCATATTCTGTACGAATTTGAAATATATTTTTGTATGCTCCGGTCGTGGCCACCCGTGGTAATAATTTCACGTCATCTTTAACATATTTTTCAGAATAATGCAAAATGTGTCGCACCGTTCAGTCGCTAATACAAACCGTCATCTGCGCGCTACAAATGATAACACGGATCTTCATGACTGTGCTCCTTATGATTGAGAACATGATCAGAATGTTGCTGCAATCAATATACAACTTTATATCGACAATACTTCAAATCATATCCCTAATACCGATCTGCTGCATATTTATGCTGACGGCTAAGATGCGCTGCCTGTTGTGCGGCGGCGGCGGCGGTGGCTGCGGCGGTGGAGGCGGCGGCGGCTTTGTGGGCTGCTTCCTCTCCGCGCTCTTCTTCATCTTCTTGTTCAAAGCCCTACGGTCTTATGGCCTCGCTGATAAGTTCATGGCACGATTGGGCTACTCCCGGGTGTGGAAATACGAGGGAAAGACGTTCACCCAGCCGCCGAAGCAAACAATGCCCAAAGGTAAAGGTGGCAAAGGTGGTAAAGGAGGCAGAATCGGCGACGAACAGGGCGATGATGATAACATAAGTTATATCCTCGATGATTTTGAAAACAGCACAACTACCATGACAACTTTACAAATGTCTGCGGAGATCGAACCCGTCACTGAGTATACTACAGTCGGTAACTTATCCACTTTACTGTATTATTTATTCTAAACAGTGTGTTATTTTAGAAAATATAGTTCTCATTTAATTGTCTTAATAAATCACAAATGTAATATTTAGTTTTATTTATCGATTGAAATAAAAGTATTAATTTATTTCCTATATGACATTACCGTTATTCTTCGTTATAGTGTGTCTAAATAAGATAGATTAGTTTGATAAATGATGCATATGAGGTATCGAATTAAATTTGTATGAAGACAAATGAAGTACCGCCTTCGCGAAAAAATCAACAAGAATTTTAGTTTATAACGTACATATTTGCTTACGTAATAAGGACATTACTGTGTGTAGCCAGTAATGTATTAAGGAACTATGTGATGATTTTGTAACGCACCGTTCGAACCATGGGGCATACCATATAGTTTGTACTGTGCGTTGATTGTAAACAACAATAATTAAGATTTCTATTATTCTGTAGATGAGCGCTAAATAAGACAATTCCTTTTATGTTAAGGATAGTCTTTTAGGGGAGGAATAGTCCTCCCTTTACTGTCTTAGTAGAGTTTGAGAGAGAGAGAGAGAGACAGCATTGCTTAAAGATTGCTACAAAACTTCTTTATGTATAGAGTCTTCTTCCAGACAAACGAAGTCAAGAGCATTTCCTAATTACATTATAAGGTACAAGTACTTCCTTTACAATTTGCGTGTTTGCATTCAAAAGTAAATAATTTCCCTTGAATGTGGAAATATTACCTTGCTGGTCAAAAAGATGCCACAATATCCATGTGACACTATACCACTACAGATGCAGGCGGGAATGTTATAGACGACCTTTTATTTAAAATAGTTAGCTGTTCCTGTGCGACTTCATCCGCATAAAATTATGAAAATTTAATTTTGTTTACATGTGTCAAATTATCAATTGTGTTGGAGGGTTACTTTTCTCCGTCCGGGGCTCTGGAGGTGTGGGGATATTGAAACACTTTCTTCATCTAGTTAATCATCATTATATTTATAATATCAAAACCATATTTTATTCAAAGTCTATTCTATAAGTCCTACTATGTTTCTTGGTACGTGTCGAGATGTGAAGTCAATGTATAAAACATCAAATATACAATTCTTTATAATTTAAAATATATTATTCTAATATTAAAAACCATCCTCTGTGTGTACAGTGTTGCCTGCCAATATACAAACATATAAAAACTCCAACAAATTGCAAATGTCAAAATGACATGACATGATGACAAACCATGGCAACCTTGCTTCCTTAATGTTGGCAGCATGTAGTTTATGGTCCCTTTCCCACATGAAGGTTTTTTTCTAATTTATTTATCCCCCAAATTTAATACCGCGAAAATATAGAGCCTAAAGCGTGTCGTAAGCGCAGGGCTCTTTATTACAAAGATAATTATTCAAAAATACGCTGTGATTGCTGACATCCTACGCCTCATAGTAGTGTGTGATTATGCTTTATTATATTAGTATAGATATAGATTTTGCGCTGACGATGTTTGCGAGCAACAGCTCTGTACAATACAGACAAGTTACAAGAAGGAACGTTTCTGTCTTTCCAAGTAATTTATTTAGTTAGGACTTTTTTTTTATACCTTTTATAATGAATTTTATTTGAGGGTATTTTGTTTGTCTGTTTTCTGTTTTTAATAAAAAGTTTAGCGACCTTGAATCACAGTGATTTTTTTGTGTAGCTTCACCGAAAGGTAGGCTTATTCCGGTGCAAAAACCTTTTCCCCTTCTCTCCTTTTCAAAACTATTACTTTTTTATAAATTAAACTCAATCTTCTACGTGTAGTCTTTATTTAACGATGATTTTAGATACTGAATGGCTTAGAATATATAATGCAGTAAACTAGACAAGTTAGCGACTTTACTGTACTCAGTGGCGGTGTTTGGGTCCGCCGTTTTTGAAATTTTAATGGAAGTTGTGCTACTTTCGAAATCATCGAAGACATAATTTTTAATATCGTCGTCGAACGGGTCGAAGCCTATTCTTCCCCCGGGCCTCCATCTCTTTGTGCCAATTGCTACTTTGCCGGAGCCGCCAGAACCGCCTAAAGCGGTAGTAGTGTTGGTGCCGTTAACTGTAGTCGGAGGCATGGTGGGCGAAGGCGGCTGGGTGAATGCCTTACCCTCGTATTTCCACGCCCGGGTGTAGCCCAAGCGCAACAGGAGCTTGTCAGCAAGGCCGTAAGACCGCAGGGCTTTGAATAAGAAGATTAAGAAGATCGCGGAGACGAAGCAGCTCGCGAAGCCGCCGCCTCCACCGCCGCAGCCACCGCCGCCGCCGCCGCACAACAGGCAGCGCATCTTCGCCGTCAGCATAAACACACAGCAGATCGGTATCAGAGATACGATTTGAAGTATTGTCGATATAAAGTTGTATATTGATTGCAACAACATTCTGATCATGTTCTCAATCATAAGGAGCACAGTCATGAAGATCCGTGTTACCATTTGAATCGCGCAGATGAAGGTTTGTATTAGCGACTGAATTGTGCGACACATTTTGCGTTATTCTGAAAAACATATTTAAGGTGACGTAATCATTACCACCGACGATTATAATAACAGATTCCTACAGAGTTTGACAGACCCAACAATAACATTTTGTACAGAAAGTTTTTGCGATCGAAACATGGATGAACTCGTACCGTTTTATACAATCGGAGTTTCGATGTCTATCTGACTTCCTCTTAGATTGCATTTTAGTCAGTGACGACGCAAAGAAGGGGTCTATATTCTCAAAGCTTACTTCTTACGCTACTTATCTGGCAGTGACACATTACCTCCAAATATAGATTAGTTAAAAGAGTGAAAGAACGTTAACTAAGTTGTCGGATGCCATCTTTCGACGACATCACCACTTCACATCAGGTGGGTAAGTGGTCAAGCATTTATTTATTCAATGAAAAATAGATTGGTCTAAAGGTGGAATTTTATAAAGGAACGATTTGAACATACCTTTCCACTTGTTATATTTTAAAGACTTTTTATTCAAAAGGTGTGGTATAGCGTTCACTTATGTTTATTTCATTTATGTTATCTGCTTGTATAATTGTACAAAAATTTCTTTAAACGCTGCAGTTTAGGAATTTATCTTCATTTCTTATCCTATAAATGCCGTAATACCAATATAAACATTGCAGTTTAGGAATTTATTGTTATTTCTCCATCTATAACTATAACTGCCTAAAAGCCTTAAAATTAATATAAACTCTGAACTGAATGTGACAGATATTTTTTAAATCAATTTAAAAGAGTTTAAAAAAAAGAGTAAAAGAGTAGGGACTGTAAGGAGGATTATTTAGAATCTTTCAATGAACTTTACTATATAAATGTTAAAAAAAAACTTAATTTAGTCTAGCCCGGTATTCGCGCACTCTAGCCCGGTATTCGCGCACATCTCGCCGAAACAAATACACCGACTTCAGGTGATTCAAAATAGATTCATGCGCAGAGCCACGGGGGCCC